TCAACTTTAAAACTATTTAACTTCTAAGACGGTTCATTTGTTTGATGAAATTTTCAGGGGTCATTATTCAGGTTATCTAAGTAAATGGCTTCGTATGGTTTCACTGTCTTTACTGGAACAGAAACAATAGAGCTGCCAATTAGCGGCTCTGTTAACTGTGAACGATTTATAAAATGTGAATGTTTCAAAGAGCACTGTGTAAAAACTTGTCAATGGAAGCACTAATAAATAAGCCATTATGTTCCTAGTAAACAGAAGTTTTAAATAAGTGTTCTTAAATTAAAATCAGGGTATGCATTCAAAAGTTAAATAGTTTTAAGTGCACTTTCACCTAAAATGCATGATTTTAACCCAAAATCAACACCACTTAATATGGTATCATAGTACATTATTGTAAACCATAAAACTCAAAAGTTTAAATAAAACTCTTTCAAATGATATATAACTTGATTGGTAAAAAGTATATTTTACTCATGTAATTACAGTAATTAGAGGCAATTAGAAATATAGTCTCCCAACCTGCATCTCTACCTTAAGACTCCATTGGGCGTGACGTGATGAGGGTGCTGATATGCACGCAATACTACTACATAAATATACCAACCGTGACCAGTAAATATACAGAGTAATATACCTTTAGCAAAATTGTGTCAATTCTACAATGCAAACTAATTACAGTGTGAGATCAACTGCACATTCTTCGTGTGAAAATGATACGAATCAACTAACTTACAATGTACAAAAGAACATAACTCTTAGCCATTTTAATTAATTAACTGAATTGGCAAAGCACTGTGAATTGTTTTTTTTTAAAAAGTAAAAGTTATGTCTCTGTTAAAGTTAACGAGTTCTAAAAATGGTCAATTTGGGTTTACTACTTAATGTATTGTATTCTCACTGAATAAAGGATAAATCATCTGATACTTGTTATGTATGCCCTAGTGTATGCGACTCAGCAGGGCTAACATAACATACAAAAGACGACAATCTTCATTCCTGGATTGTATTTGATAATACGTAATAATTGACACATATATAAAAGGTAAACTCCCTCACGACATATAAGCCAAAAGTATGCATACTCCTTACGTATATTCAGACATATGGGAAATAAGTTGACGGCTCACACAAATTGAAGCTAGGTGAAAGGTCGACGCGAACGTTGGGAACGTGGATACGGGTATGGTGAGGATGATGCCTTTATTGATCACATTATCACGTGATACCGGGTTCATTGTCTATGGGAGACTGAATGAGTTTCAAATGCCGGTAAGAAACTAACATTATTGTTAAGTTCAACTAGTATTTCATATTAATTTTAATGAATTTATTGGGAAAATATATACTAGTAAGTTGATATATTTCTTGACTGTTCGGGCGACTGTTCGGCTCGAATAAATGATTTTAAGCTACAATGACATGGTCAAGCTTGGATATGAATAATTGGGATGAAAAAGCGCGGTCAATAACGCCGTACTGCAATAAAACGCAACAGCTTGTCATGGCTATTTCGATGAACATACAGAGGCCTGATCTAGGCCTCTTAGCATACGTAAATATCACGGACACTCCATATTGCTTTGTTGTTGTACGTTTCTTTTGTTTATTTTGATGAGCAAAGTATAATGACGTTGGTACACACGTTATGTGCCGCTTGTCACGTGCTGCTGACACTAATTACATTTTAATAGTTACATACATACTGCAATTTCTCTTGGCGTAGCTTTGCAATTATTTGGATTTTTCACAGACGTTAAGTAAGATAACATGTTTTTATTTTGTACACTACAATCAGTTCAGTGTCGAGGATTCGTCTTTTCAACGGCGATTATTCCGAAATAGGTTGTTTGCTAGTTTCCCCGCGATTTTGTTATTTGTTAGACACAGAATTTCATGATGTTACACAAGTTTCAACATTTTTTTTAAATAATGAAAACTTACGATATCAACAATGATACTAGAGAAAAAAAGTTGAAAAAATAATAATATGAACATTATGCACAGAGAAACTAAAATCAATTTTATTGTTTCACAGAATTCTCTTTGTGCAGGTATAGTCTATATTTAGTAATTGTTGTCGTTTACATGTTAAATTATGGCATCATCACGGAGCACAGTGTGCTGCGCACCTCTTCATCCCATTCCTAAAGACACCCCTACAAGTTCCATGGCAGGAGACGAATATACTATCGAAAGTACGCAGCCAAACTCGCGTAAGTATGGACAGACGACAGCTGCGTTATCTTAGCATTTATGGGGAAAATATGTAAGTTAGGGTTCGACCGTATCAATATGTTGTACGTTATACCAAGAATACTAAATTTGTCTTTTGCTTTATTGATGCTGGTCGCACACTTTGTGTGTGTTTTGTCTCACACTGGACAGTTCCAACGGTGTCACGATGTGTCCTGTTATTTGCTTTCTTTCCATGTGAAATACTTGATAGTCATGTGTCGAAAACTATATTCGAACAGTTTGTATTTTGTGTTAAATCAATTATGGATATTGGGTGGCCAAAGCTGGTAAAAATAGCATAAAACCTACATCGCGGGGGCGTGGCACTTCTCCCCATGGGTGAATGGAATCAACTGGTGGTAGTGTACGCGCAACTATTTTGCGCAGGACCAGACTTCGTCATGAATATTGAGCCTTCATTTTGTTGTTAGTCTGTCCGATTAGTACTGTATTCGTATTGTCATCTTTAATAACATCATATCATATTCACAACGAAACCATGTCGGATGAAGACAGTAAGTTTGCTTTCATTGCTTCCATATGCTTCTCGATTCACTGTCAGTGTTTTGAGCCCGAGGTCGTGGCTGCGATTGAATGATGAACACGACTTGCGGCGGAATGACAAACGTTGACAGGGAAAGTGTATGGACACCAACAGGTGGCCGATTGTTGACTTGATTGCCGTTTATGCTATTATTCCATAATATAATCCGTGTATGTAGGTGTAGTAGACGAGCAATTAGTATCACGAACTACAGAGGTATGTCAAAGTGTGTCCGCTTTTCACTGGTGTCATATGTTACTTTGTGAGGCTGCCCGTGACTGTATGTGGTTGTAGAACGTGTACGTTCGCCGGCGAAGTGTCCGCTTGTTGTGCCCGTACACTCGTTATAGTATTTTCATATTACGTTCAGTTTCAGGGGGTGAGATGGAAGGTGAAATAATAGAAAATGAAACAGGCACAGGTACAAACAGCAAGAGAAAGAAACTATGGAACAGTTTTAAGAAGAAAACTAAACCCAAGCGATGGAGCAGCAAAGAGAAACATAAAAATAACGGTGACCCAAGAATGGCTATGAGCCAACCCGATATAAACAACGAGGCTAACATGGACGATGTGGATCGATCAGAATTTGATTCGCTATTTGAAGCAGCCAAGTCCAGACGTGACGACAAAATGGGGTTCAGCGATTCCGATCTTCCAAACCTAAAAGACCGCAGTGAACTCAATGGTACTGAAAATATGGAACGCCCAAAAAGTTTGTCGCTGGAAGAAGGGGCACCCAGCAGTCCAACCACTACCAGTCCTACAGAGGTAAACATTCTTTTCTTAATACATATTTGTAATTGTCAAGGTGTCATTAATGCTAACATGCCTCTAAGCAGAAACAAGCCTGCCCCACCCTTCACGAAAAAAAAAAAACTTTCGTTTTTTTTCTTATGTTGAGAATGCTTTGCAAACGTTTATATATTATTATTTGAGTCTTTGTCATATATTTATTTCTTGTGTATTGTCTGAAAAAAGTGATGCAGTTGAATCCAGATATTTTAACATTTTTAAATAAATAAAAAGATAATATAGATGTTGGAAAAGGTGATAGTATACCAGTATTAATTCATACATTAGTAGAACCCTGGCAAAATATGTGCTAAATTTAGCTGTACATTAATAATCTTAAAATAAACTTGTAGTGGTTGTTGTCCGAGTGACACATTAATTTAAATGTTGTATGATTAACATATTGTTAGTTGTCATTATTATATTTTGTATAGGCAATAAATAGGTCGCGTTAACTAGTTTGTTTGTATATGCTTCTTGTTTGTTTACTTTTGAAGGTTTCAATAATAATTCTATTTATTAATAAATGACAGTATAAATGACAGTAAGTGAGTTATGTTTAAGATCTACATGCATTAGTGAAGGTATAAAAACAACTAGACACTTCGAAAATTTGTCAAAACTCATGTGGCTACAATTGATGTATATTTTGACAAATTCCTTTGTCACCAACCTTTAATTTGCATGCTTTTTTTTCCCATAAAAATTTGAATGCCATTTGCACATTTTTAATTTCTTAAATGTTATTTTTAAAAAAGATCAAATTTTGGCTAAAAATCTGGAAATAATTTTGCTGTTAATTTTGTGAAAAGGTGATAAAAACTGACTTTGAAGGATTACAACTAGAATCTCTCAATATTTTACCCAATTTCATCAAAAAGTGTTGTTTTTTTTTTTGGGGGGGGGGGATATACCGGAATGGTTTCTGGGGCACACTAGATTGGTTTTGGGGGCATACCAAAATATTTTAGCGAGGCAAACCAGAATGGTTTAGAAACATATAAGAATGGTATATTGGGCTTCCTGGAAAGTCTATTCAGGGAAAAAAGTATCATGTTGCAATGAAAAAGTCAGGTTCCTTTTTGTTAAAGTGAGAGAGGAAAATGGAACACTATTTTAGAACTAAAAAACACTATCACTCTCAATGAGATTTCGGCGGCCATTTGTCTCTATTCTCAGGGGCAGACATTTTTGTCCGCCGTTCCAGCAGCTCACACCGAGCCCATAGAAATACATTGTCCAGTTGTGCCTGTCTTAGCAACGTAGAATGTTCTGTGACTTAGCTCGGCCCCCAGAAATAGGTGTACAATCCGTAAACAGTATTAGAATGCCGAAAATAGGGAGCTTCAGTCTTCCATATTTAGTTATAGGAAACTGTTCCATAATTTGCATCCTTCTCACACATTTTATTTTATTTAAAGTTATATGTTCCCACCTTGTAAATCGGTGATATCAGTAACGAGCATACGCTCGTTAATTTATATACCATCAAATGTTGAGAATGTCAATGGGTAATGTTAAACTAACGACAAAATATGTATATAATTAAATAGTTCTCCTAATTAAGCTTGAGTCAATGGGCAGAAATATGATCGGATATTTTTTAATGTATCATTTTTTTTTTTTTACATAAAACAGCATTATGCTTCATATATTTGCAAAGTGGTAATGCATTTTAAAAAAAGAAATCAACACTACAAATATACTTCACATTAAAAAGAAAGTTTGTAATACTAAATATGCATGTACATTTTGGCTGTCCCTGTCGCATAACCTGAATGTAAATTTGTTATCTGTGTACGACCATACAACTAGCTCAGTGCTGCAAATTGATAAATGCTGTATTTTTTTCGCTGAATATTTTTTTCACAATTATGTTTTTTTTTCTAAATACATGCACACTACACTGAAAAGACATCAAAAGAGAAATCGGTTAGTGACATTTATGATGTCATAGTATTTTTTTTTTATCTTGTTCTTTAAATATAATTAATGTCAGACTTAATGCATGTAAATCACTGACTCTTGATTAATTAGTACATGCCATGGAATTTACATGCAACACCAGTTTATGTCGTAAATTAAAACAATTTTATACATTACATTATACTCTATCAGTAAGTGCAGTAAACTCATTATTCAAGTAATCTGACCCATTATTGGCATGGAATATTGATGCTACAGTAAAATATGACCCTATAATTAATGCTCTAGTCATCTTGTGATTTTCATCTATTATCTTTTGTATAATAATTTTTTTGAAAACTTTTTTTCCTAATTTCTTTTTTTTGTTTGTTCATTTCATTCTAATTTGCTAATAGGTTTCATTACTCTTACTCTTAGTAACTGTTTTAATTTATATTAACCTTATTATTCTTTTCATCAAACAATTAATCTTGGTTTTTAATCATATATCTCAAATCTAAATAATACTTAATAGTTCTATGTTAACAAATAATGAATGAATGTTTGAATTGTTATGATTATATAACATGACATGTAATTGGTACCATTTTAGTTGTCTCTACTGCAGGCTGTTAAACTGTGACGTCATTGTTTTACATTTCTGCCAACCAGCATGTCTAACAATAATGCATTGTACCCTCCTAATTACTAGTAATCTCATAATATTTCCACCATATTTTGTTTGCGTAACATTTGGTAACTTTTTAGTGCATTTTTTTACAATTTTGAACCAAATTACCCTTACCATGAAGGTTTGTTCAAAACTGTTGACAAAATATTGAATTAAATTATGTGCGTATGTTTCGTGAAAAGATTAGAAAAGTTTACTTTGGCATTCAAAGATTAGCGAACATCCACATTATTTTATCTTTGAGTGCAAATGACTGGTTCTTGTTAACTAGTCAGGGCACATGTGCATGTGTGCAACAAGTAAACAAATGTGACAGCGTATATACATATGTAGCCTTATCACTGAATTTAAGTTTTATAAATTCATCTAATACTCAAATTCAAGTAGCGTTTATTAGTCAGAACCGACCATAGGACAATTTACTCAACATTCTTTAAAAATGGATGCAAAATTTAGGAAAGAACATATTTCTATGTATTGATTATTCTTTGTAGCATCCCATCACCCTAACCATGGTTCCAGGTCAGAAAACTGCTCATGCATTAACCTTAACAAAATTGGATAGAATTATAAATTTTATAAAAATTATTTGAAGCATTTGGTAAAAAATATATTGACGCACAAGTCAGATGGCTTATAATACGTGTCGAGTATGTATTTGTTATGAAAACTAACCGTTGTTATTTTTTCAGAGTGTCAAATCTAGTGGCAATCAGTTTGCCTTCTACGTATTAGAAGTTGTCTTAAAAGAAGGCAAAGACCTGGCTGTTAGAGATAAATCAGGTAAGAATACATGTGCAAACATGTAAAAATGCAAACCTCATGGGTAGATATTTGTTTGTAAACAACGAAACACTGGCCATCTGCCACTTCCCTGCTCTAAATTTGCGAAAATAGTGAAATATTAATAACAATATATTCTGTTCTATATATACTTGACTAATCTTATCTGAGCTTTTATGGCTCTCTGTAAGCACTCTTGATTAATTATACATTCATTTAAAGGTTTATTTTAAACAAAATACCTGGTTGTTAAGCTGGACGAAGACTCTGATAAATGCTTGTCCATTTGAAAATATTGTTGTTCACGATGACAACCACTACGAGAAACTGCTTGTCCACATAACAAAAATGTACATGATCAATAAAGGTTTGTCTTTAAGCTTTGAATGCAAACACCAACTGTGTCAGTATCTGATTTTTGAAACAAGTAAGTTTTAAAAAACTTATTTTTGTGAAACTAGGACCACTTCCCACTTATTTTACCACTGTACAGCGCCCTCTGTTGACAAATTGATTGAACCATCAAATACTTTAGCTAAAAAAATCGTCTCACTGGTTTTGACTAGTAACATTTCTTTTTTTTGTAAGACCTAAAAACAACCTTGTTGCAAGTAACTGCAGTCCAATCGTGACAGAATTTATACTTGTTGAAGTGGATGTTTACACTTTGCAGATTATTATCAGTGAATTTTTAACAAAACTTAACTATATACTGTGTTTGCCAAATTGTTGATACCGTTAGTTTGGCAAACCTTTACAACTCAAGACACCTTGTTATAAACAATGCACACATTCACATTCATTGATAAGAAAAATAAAATCTGCAGAAAAAAAGAATTTTTACAGAAAATTTACAGAACAGAAAATATATAAAAACAACATACACTTGATAGAAAAAAAATTGACAGCAAACATCGTTGTGAAACAAAAAAATCAAAGAGAATATGAAACTTAATTACACAGTAGTTCTACCCTTTTCCATGGAGTTTGAAATGCATTGAAGTGATTTTCAAATCTACCTAGTCCCCGGAAATTTAACACAGCACAGAGAGTTAAGTTTTCATAAAATAAAATAAAATGCCTTGAATGATCTATTCAAGCATAGTCCCCAGTGGAATTCTTTGATCAGAGGTTCTGACAATTGCCTATTATGAATGCACGGAGGGATACATTTTCTTGTAGGTGAAACCCACACAAACCACCCCAGTCCTTTTTAATGTTATCATGCTGGCTATTAAGAACTCCAGAGGATGGGAGAACATATTTTTTCATTGTATTATTGCAGAGGTATATGGTTTTTTTGATGATGCTGTACATTTTTTTTTCGTAAACTCAGTTCTTCTGTCATGAACCCTGCAGTATTTATCATTTTCCTGATGTTTTTGTCAAATTTGTTTCCAAATTTACCTTCATCCTAATATGGTCTACCCCTTTTAATGTCAATTTTACTGTCAGGCTTCCCACTTAGTCATTATTGGGTAATAGATAGTGAAATTATCCTATAAGCTTTGTTATTTACAAAACATGTATCAACATCCGAATGTAATTATCATGTGCATAATTATGACAGTAATACTGAAATCATTATGACAGATTATTATATTTGATTAGTCATATTTACAACATCATATTGCAATATTAACCTAATTATCTAAATTTGACTGCCACTGCTAACCTCTCTGATGTTTCAGCACACCTGGTTGGGTTACTAGCATAGTGATCAGCACTCGATCTTTTTAAACATGACACCGATAGGGTACATATTTATTCAAATTAGTGTTTGAAATTATAGCTAATAAAATAAGAACTGATTCGTTAAGTAAACCAACTGTTAGGCCAATTAAAAAAATACTGCATTTCCGGTAACACAACCTTGCCTAGACTTTTCAGGTCGACCCTGTATCTTTTTATGGCCAAATTGGAAAAAGGTCATTTGTTAAGGTACCCTGTTAAGGTTTACTTGAAATTTTTCATTTTTGAACCAAAATGTCAGTCTGTACATGCAAGATGTGGTGTAATATTGAAAAAAACTTTCATATAACAGTATGGGCCAAGCATCACCGCGAAATAATTTTCATAAAATGAAAAGTTATGATAAAATAAAAGTTGTTACCTACCAAACTTTTGTTTGCAATGTTACCAAAACCACACTTTTTATTTCCTTAGCTTAAAAAAGGATTAATCCTAACTCATCCTAATAAAAATTACATTGGATTTTGAGTCACATTTAAATTACTGAAAATTATATGTACACACATAATATGGGCAATGCATTTTCCAGAAAAAAATATTATCACACTGGAAACTGGAAAATATTAATGAGGTAATTAAATTTGTTAGACATTAAAATGTTTTTATTTTTATTAAATGGCTAAGGGTGAGGCAAATATATCATGATGGCTATAATTTGCGAAAGCCGAACAATGGTATGTATATTCCACAACTGAGCACATTTAAAGTTATTTGCAAATTCAACTTCTGGATTCTACAGATTTTTGCAATAGTTCCTTTATTAGAGCGCCCTAACCGCTAACTGTATTCCTAACCCTGCCCTCCAGTGCCCCTCTCCCATTTGAATTGTATACGCCCCAGGACATGTTATCTAGAGATGGGAAAATACAATAGCTACTGATGTACGTGTTAGGGTTTAGGTTAGGGGTGAGGTGGTATTTATAACTCTTTCCCAGGTTTTAGATTTACGAGCATACAAGGCACTTTGAAAGAATTTAGTTAATGTTTTACATTTATTGTTTATTTAAGTTCTACTTGTATTAGAGATCAGATTTGTTCGACAATAATCCCAGTTTCAAGTATTTGTGAAAAACACTCAATAGTGTTTTTGGTCAAATAACATTTATTGCATTGGAAACAATAATAAAAAAAATCATAAAAATAAACCTACACTACACTAGTTTGCATACATAAAAGTAAAATGTACAGGTGTTATCACAAAAATGAAAAATCAGTGTTTCCAAAAACATTTGGTTGTAGGATAGCTTCGTCATATGCTCTAAGGGCAAAGATGTCATGTAGTCAAAAAGGTTATAGTGGATGAGAGGCATTAAACTGATCACTGTAATAGGGGAAGGTGTCATTTGCATGGGATGGAGTTCTTCACTCACATCATGGGGAACAGTTCTATTAATGAGTGCATGAATAAAGCCGGAGCTCCTCATTAGTGGCTGTGAATAACCTCTGTCAATGTTAGCATGCAGTTCCTGAAC